TATATATATATATATATATATATATATATATATATATATATATATATATCCCCTTATCAGTATATATTACAAAAATATATCTGTAACATATGTAATATAATTCAATGCTGTAATATAATTCAAGCACAGTGTAATAAAGAATATAAAGTATCAACTAAAACTATTATATTTTCTTCCGACTTTTTACAGTAAACGTGATAGTAAACACAATAACTTCGGGATATCCTGTATGTCTCCCCACTACGTTGCTCGATATATTATCTCTCTAACCAAAATATCTAATCTACGTTGAATTACGGATGCCTAATTTCCGGTAGCTAAAATGTAGACTGAGGAAGCGTACGACGATTACCTTTAACACCGGTGTCAAGTACTCAGCGACTCCCAACGCGGTACCTTTCACCGAGTTTATGACACTTTGCATTTTTGACGACTCGTTGCACGCTACTGTGTTCGCAAAAGAGATAGCGTTGCCGCGTGCGAATGCGAGAAGAACGACAACAGTGGTCTAGAGAAGAACAACCGTGGTCATATCGCGTATGTTAACGATTTTCTCAGCGCGTTGTATCAATCACACCCGCTTGCTAACCGTTCTTTCACTTTGCCGGATCGATTCGTGCCGATTCGCACGCAGCTTCGTCTGACAGGTGATTCCAGTAGCAGACCACGAATTAAGAAATCGTAGACAGGCGATTCTAAACAGATCTTTGGTGAACTTTGGTCTCGGAGCAGTGTCACCAATAGAGACATGCACTTTTCCCCGGAAGACAATTGATCTGTTCTTTTCAGCCGCACTGCTGAACTGGTGCAATAAGTTAGAGTGAGATAAGTATATGTTTTCTTACTCTAACTTATTGCACCAGTTAACAATGCAGCTGAAAAGAACAGACCACATATGTTACACAAAACCAGTTTATTGCATATTATCTTACAAGATATTTTAGATAATATATGACCAATAAACTGGTTTTGTGTAACACAGTTGGTCTGTTCTTTTTAGTTGCACTGCTGAACTAGTGCAATAAGTTAGAACGAGAGGAAGTATATTCATTTCACATTTGATCTGTTCTTTCAGCTGCACTATTAAACTAGTGCAATAAGTTAGAACGAGAGGAAGTATATTCATTTCACATTTGATCTGTTCTTTCAGCTGCACTATTAAACTAGTGCAATAAGTTAGAACGAGAGGAAGTATATTCATTTCACATTTGATCTGTTCTTTCAGCTGCACTATTAAACTAGTGCAATAAGTTAAAGTGAGACAAATATATGTTTTTTCACTCTAACTTATTGCACCAGTTCAGCAGTGCAGATGAAAAGTGGTCTGTTCTTTTCGGCTGACTGCTGAACTGGTGCAATAAGTTAGAGTGAGACAAGTATATTTTTCTCACTCTAACTTAAACAAAACAATAACTTAAACATAAACAATAGGGAAGTAATAATCTAATGTAAGCTAATCGCTTATTATTTTTTACGCGAAACAACCGGTTTACATTAAATTGAATCGTATCACTTTCTAATATTAAATTAGTAGAGGAATATCAAAAGCTGGGACAGGAAGAAATTAACCGTGGACGATCGTCTAGGTGCAATGTCGTGTCAATTACACAAGGCACTTTTGCGTTATTACAAGCAATTACACAGTCTTTACGACGAGTGGTTGAAAATTAGCAAAGAAATTAATATATCACTTACAGCTTTGACTGATCAAAAGACAGCACTTCGACTTATCAGGTAAATAGGATCAATTGTCAACATTGGTAACAATTAATTAATTCTAAACTCATTTATACATTATATGTATAATTATTCCAGTGATGATGCAGACTATGATGAGGTTGATATTGATGAGGAGCTGCGACACAGATTGATGTTTAACATTCTTATGGTTCTTGATGAGGAACAGGATCATCTTTTTAAAGTTATGTTGCAATTCAACCATATCATTCAGGTATTTTTCTTTAACTGTCTTGTAATTTGAAAAACATGATATTTGAACCCTATGTATGATTGTAGGATTTGGCAAATTTATTCCATAATATGATACAAGCCAGGAGTAAAGTATCTGTGATAGATGAGGAAATGAGACTATTAATTAAGGGATCACATTGTCGACCAAAGCTCGATTTACTTATGCAATGGGCTACTAAGTCTTTGGAATATTTTAACAAATTGTATTTATCATTTCAAGAATAGTTTGTATTTCTGAATCTTTTACTTCTGATCACTTTACTGAAATTTATTGTATCTTTTTTGCAAGATATCATTGTATCAATTCCGAGGTAAAGTTACTTGATTGCAATAAGATGAAGACAGTAGATAAGGTACGTGTAGCCCTCAAAGAAGCCGATAAAGAGAGAATAACTATAAAGAGTAAGTATAATTAATTTTTTTATCTTCACTGTATATGAAATATTTAAAAATATTTTATATAATTAGAAAAATATGGAAGATATAGTACTTGGTACAATGTTGCTTAGTACAAGCACAGAATTCAAATTATAAGTCCAAGATTTAATTGTAAAAATACAAAATTCATAGAGATCTCATGAAAGCTTTATATGTTTCAGAAATACTTGCTCATACACAATATATGATTGATGAGGAATTTCTTCGCGTAAAACATAAAGAACCAAGTATCCAAAAAATTATAGACCCAACAATGTTGCAGAAAGTCACCGAACAATAAAACAAAAAATTTTTCTATTGTATTTTTTGTATTGTATTTTTTAAATTACAATGATTCTCGTGTGTCTGAAGGTAAAATTATTTATGTAATAAATGTTATTTATTATATATAAGAATAATGTAATTGATCAGCAATAGAAGATAACATGAAGAATACCCGGGCATGTTTCTTCCAATTCTAGATCAGCACAACACAATTGTCTATGATTGCGCGTAAACTTACAATTTCTAATACAACGCACAATTTCACGATTCTGCATGTTAATTTATAGGACGCTGCGATAAATCATGTCCCTCCCTTTTGCACTCGACTTTTTCGATGGCCTTCGATGGTCTTGACGAAAAGAATTCTCTCGCGCGCGCTTTCCTTTGGGCGACAGTCGCGGGAGGAAGAGAGCGCGTCGGAGCGCCGGCGCCGGCTATTGATTCTCTTCGGGTACCGTGATTTCAAAAGTTACTATCACCAACGTACAAGGTGCCACCAGTGGCGAACTGCTCCTCGACCGCGGACAAGGTCCTCCCGCGTTTCCTCCTTTGGTCCCGGCAGGTCGGTAAGGATTCCGTTTTCTTTTCGGCATGGCTAATAAACGCGACAACGACACGTTCTCTTCGTACGAACAATGCTGTGGCATGCGTACACAAAAAAATCGAAGGAGTTTTCGTGTTAATCGCGCGGATATGCACGTCCGAATAAGTGAAGAACACTCGTGCGCGAGGGGCGTATATATTTGTCTGAATTGGGCGAAAATTTCGTACATATGTCGAGAACACTTACATTTTGGTTCGAACAATGTAATTGAGTTTGAAAGTGTAAATCTTCCTGAATATATATAAAATTGTTTCATGAACTTGCTGTTCGTATGAACGAGAATTTTAAAAATTGGACGCTCACATGTTCCATGCAAAAATTGTCTCCTAGTGAAATTTTCAATCGATTTCTTCGTACATAGGTGCGAAATGTATATATATAAGTTTTGCGTAAGAAGAACACGTGTGTACTCGCAAAATGCGTGTATGCTTCATCGTAGTCTACAGCTGCGAAAGGAACGTACATATGCGTCGATTCGCAAATTAAGTCTACTAGGAAGCACTTTTCAAATTTTATAATAGTAAAATTCGATTAGTAAGCTTGTTGAATTCGTGCAAACACGTGCTACGATGAACAATCTTGCACGTTAATATACTTAATTATACGCCTTAATAAGACATTTAATCGTTTTATTTGTCTCTTGTTCCCAGATTAACTTCCAAATAATGCAATCTATCAGTTGCCGCGCTCGGTGATTCCTTCACTTATATTAATCATTCTAATGATTTCAATCCTTCTCTCAACAGGATGGAGCGTCTAGGGCTTTTCGTTTGATCAAAAGGGTCATCGGATCTGAGAAGGATTAAAGAGAAAAGGGAAAAGATATGGCGAACACGGCTCATCTCGTCCGCCGGCAAAGTTCTCGCGACCTCAAGCCACAGAAGAGCATCGATAAGCTCGAGATGAAAGAAATGCGTGGTAGATTAGTGGTGGATAATCGAAAGAACATCACCACTGCCAATTACGGGGCCACCAATGCGGCCTTTGAGGACAGCAGTCCTAACAAAGTACTTTTTCCCTTTTTCCGCTTTCTTTCACTTCTAGCATCTCTCTGTCTTTCTCTCTTTTGAATTAAAATTCAGTCACCTCTTTCCGTTCGTAGAGTAAAGCGGGAAACAATGGTGGCACCGGCAACAATGACGGCAAAGCAACTTTCCGGCCAGAAGCGGGCGAGGATGAGCGTGAAAATTGGGACAGTAAACTTACTTTTCTTCTAGCGACCGTAGGGTATGCAGTAGGTCTTGGAAATGTTTGGCGGTTCCCGTATTTGGCTCAGAAGAATGGCGGGGGTGCGTATGCTTCATTTGAATCACATAACAGTGTTATCGTGTTGCTTTCAACGCAATTTTTACCTGTAGGCGCTTTTCTAATCCCTTACTTTGTAATGCTGGCTATCGAGGGTATTCCTATATTTTATCTGGAATTGGCAATCGGTCAGAGACTGAGAAAAGGCGCCATTGGTGTATGGAATCAGGTGAGTAAACGAGAAGTAATGTACGATTAATGATTAACATCACCAAGTATTCCTTTTCAAAAGGTATCTCCATACATGGGCGGTATTGGAGTCAGCAGCGCCGTAGTTTCCTTCAACGTGGCTCTCTATTACAATACTATTATCGCCTGGTGCCTATTCTATTTTGTTCAGGTAAGAAACTCGCTCAAGTTCGTCTTGGCCCGTTTACTTGTAGCTCGAAAAAAATGTCCTGAGGATCTGTTTTGCAGAGTTTCCAGTCACAACTACCCTGGGGGGAGTGTCCCAATAGGTACTTTCAAAATGGATCTTACGCGCCTGAACCCGAGTGTTTGGTAACGCTAAAGTTTACATTAATGTATCACAAATTAAATGCTGCACACCGTACGTGTGTGTGTGCGTGTATGCGTGCGTGTGTGTCGATGTCGTGTATAATATGCGAATCGATTTACAGGTCAGTAGCCCGACGCAATATTTCTGGTATCGAACCACTCTGATGATATCCAAAGACATCAACACGCCGGAACTGTTCAATTGGAAGATAGCTTTAGCACTGATCATCGCCTGGATCCTTGTCTACATGTGCATGATTAAAGGAATCGCCTCCTCAGGAAAAGTACGACTCGTCGCGAAATATGAGAGTCATCAGTCCTATGCTAACTTCTTTTCTTCGTTTTCTTCAGGTCGTATATGTAACTGCTACATTTCCGTATATCGTCTTAATTATCTTCTTCTTCCGAGGCGTCACTTTACCGGGTATGTCGAACGGTCTGCGACATCTTTTCACGCCGAAGGTGCGACCTACTTTCCATTTTGTGGTTATCAACGAACCGATAAGCGATCAATAAATCGCAAATGATCGTTGATTCACCTTTCAGTGGTGGACGTTAACCGATCCTGTAGTCTGGTTGGAGGCTGGGACGCAGATCTTCTTCTCCCTGGGCCTAGCTTTCGGCGGTCTGATAGCGTTTTCCTCGTACAATCCGGTGAATAACAACTGTTATCGCGATGCCATCATGGTCAGCTTGACGAATTGTTTCACATCCATGTTCGCCGGGATCGTCGTCTTCTCAATCATAGGTGCGTGTGATTGCCGCCTCGCTGGAGACTCTTGTTCCTAAATCTGTGTTTCAACTTGGACAGGATTCAAGGCTACTATGGTTTACGAGCAATGCTTATCGGAAAGAAATAGCACGTTAGTGAACATTTTCGGCCAATCCGACAAAATACCCGACGATATTCCGATTGCCGGCGCTCTGTTAAACATCACAAGCGGCAACGGGTCGTTGGACAAGTTGATAATGCCAGAACTGCCTGAATGTGATCTGGAGAAAGAGCTAGATAATGTGAGCACTACATTCTGATTGCTCTTCTGAATAGCTCTCCCATGTTACTTACCTCGAATAATGATTGCACAGTCGGCGTCGGGCACCGGTTTAGCGTTCATCATTTTCACCGAGGCGATCAACCAATTCCCCGGCGCACAGTTCTGGTCGGTGCTGTTCTTCCTGATGTTGTTCACGCTGGGGATTGATTCTCAGTTTGGTACTCTGGAAGGTGTCGTCACTAGCATCGTCGACATGAAGCTCTTTCCGAATCTGAGAAAGGAAATTCTTACAGGTTACTTGCAATATAATAAGAAAAATATTTTTCAAGCGAGTTCTGAAGAAAAATAAATTCGATCTTGCGGCAGGTGCGATTTGTCTGGTGTGTTGCATGATCTCTATGGCCTTTGCTCACGGAGCTGGTAGTTATGTCTTCGTCCTATTCGACAGCTTTAGCGGAAATTTCCCGTTACTTATAATCGCGTTCTTTGAGTGCATAGGAGTATCCTATGTCTATGGTTTAAAGAGGTAAGCGCAAAAGACGCATGAATCTATGAAGTTTTGGTTGAAAGATACATTTCGACGCTTTTAGATTCGCCGACGACATCGAATTGATGACTGGTAACCGGCCTGGCCTCTATTGGCTTATATGTTGGAAGTACCTGAGTCCACTGGCGATGTTAAGTATCCTGATCGCGTCTTTCGTGGAGATATTTTTCGAAGGTAGCGGATATCCGGCCTGGGTGGCGAATAAAGGCATCACCGAAAGACACGAATGGCCTGTCTGGGCGCTATTTCTCATCGCTATTCTCATTCTCGCCTCAGTTCTATGGATACCAGTAGTCGCTATTTGCAGGTTCGCATCGATATTAATCCCAATAAATAAAATGTTAGCAGTATACTGACAGATTGACAGCAAATTCGACCAAAATATCAATAGTAGATCCTTGGTCTGTGATCTTTGTCTACATAAATTCATGTTTTGTTGGCAGAACATGAATTATTGCAGATTTTGCTCGGTTTCTGCCGCCAGTCCGTCATCAAACTTTGCTAACAGATTCTATTGTATTCCTAGCAAGCTGCCGACAAAATTTTCAACAGTCAGACATTATTATCCTCCAATAAGTTTAAAGTATTTGCATCAACAATCGCGACTTGGCTTTCATTTGCTGTCTTTCTCTCATTTGGTTGTATACCTAAGAACCTAAGAATCGTTTACATAATTAACATTCAATGATCATGTGCAGATATTTCGGAATCCTCATCATCGATGACAATGAAAAGGCCTGGTTCCCCGCAGCGGACCTGAAAGAATTCCACGGAATCGTACCGCACGAGGTAACGGCGGCCGAGACTCTATTGTTTTGCATTAGAAACGACGGTTCCGAAGGTCTCTGTTGTCCCACGGGCGGCCCTAGCGATGACGAGGATGAGGATCTCACCTAGGATCGATCTCTGTCGCGACGCGCGTTCCGGTGGATTTCGACTCGGGATACGCTCTATTTCATCCTGTGACGTGTCCATCTTCGGCTGTTGCTCGGTCAAGAGTGGCTTGCCGTGCATCTCGACGAACCTGTTCGATCGAATCGTAGTCAGCGCATTCGCGTGGTAGGATCTTGTCTATTGTGTCAATTAAGAGCTTCGGCAGTAGAAATCTACTATCGTTTCCTCATGACGTAAGGACGGAGGTACATTCATATTAGGCGATTAATTTCGCTCGTTTCAGTCGACTTCAATAGTTACAATAATAGTCGAAGATCCAACTTTCTCCTCGAAGTTTGAAAATCCTCCAATTAAAGGAACGAAGTATCCGATATGATGATATACCAGTAAGGTTGTATATGTCGATTGAGAACGCACACTCGAGTGTATCTCCGCCTGAAAGGTATAATCTTTTGATTGAATTCTCTGAGTTGACATTAACTACATGCGAAATAGCTTCTGAAGCTTTGGATAATGAGAAATTTTAGATAACTATATGACACGCATACACACACACACATACAGATACATACATGATTTTCGAACGAACGACACAATCGTACGTCGCGTGGCAGGAGGAGGTGACAGTTGGAGGTGACATTTCGCGGGATGATTGCCAGTTATATAAGTTAATGATGAAACATTTACTCTTTAGCGATTAACGTCAAATTTAACATAAGATTAGCGGTAGGAGCCGTCCAGGACTTGGGTGGGTGTACTCGAAACCGTTGTTTTAGATAGTTAGCCTTGGATAGTCAGCACAAGCGGTTGACTCTTTAGATCTATGGATACATTTGTAAATCCGAGCTTTGGATGATTATCTATTGATGGTTCTCTACAGATCCAATGAATGTAACTAACTTAAGGGTCCAAGAACTCGCGTGAGCACGCGAGTTCTTGGTGTGAGCTAAACGTTCAAACATCCGAGTCGGGTTGCGAGTGAAAGATCTAAGGATCCGGGGTAACTACATATCCACTGATTGATTACGTGGATCGATAATGTGACAATAACGAATTTAGTATAAAGAAGGTAAAATTAATGACAATAATAATTGGACTATAAATCATGCTTGACAATAATACTAATTAAAGAAATTGCGCAGCATGTGATACGCGCATTCGAAGGAGCTCGGAGAACCGGCAGGCTCGATTGATTCGTCTTGTAAAATCGGTCTCTCTGGGCGAAGTGGAATTATCATCCGGGCCTCGTAGGTTAATTAATTGATTAGTGGGTCAATTATTGTTCTGATTTCCATCCTGTTGCGCGTGTTCAAATTCGACTTGACGACGAAGATACACATTTTTTTCAAGGAGCTAGGCGATATATAATTAAAGCGAATGCGTAATTGCAATGCGTTTTAGAGTCGAGATTCAGGTCGAAACTGAACACAAACTGTTATTTCTGAAAATTTTATGGAATCTTTTTGTTCACAATTCCTCGCGACAATGTTCGCGACAGCCTGATATATCTTCCGGTGATACTTTAAAACTTAACTCTTTGCACTCTGAATAACTATATCCATGTTGAAAGATTAATACACTAAAACACGTTGTATTATTTTATATAGAAAAACTATCATCTCTAGTATTGCATTTTCTGCAGCAATATATAGCAAATAAATACGAACCTTTCATTCAGATGATTAATGAGATTTTATAGCTTCACGTTAAAACGAAGAAGTATTCTAGTGCAGAGAGTTGACGGATTCATGACTAATCGGTTGTGGAGTATTCGCCTAAAACGTACAAATGTCAATGCAGACAATAAGTAGGCTTTCGTTTTTTCGGGTTATCTATTAGTAAAAGTAAGCAGAAACATAACTGCATTAGCGATCGTTAAGTGACTAATTATTAAATAATGACAATAGAAGTCATCGATTAAAATGACGAAGGTCGTCATCGATTAATTGATGACGAGAGACAAACCATATCTTGATATCATATCATTTGTTACACTATACGTAATAGTTTTTTATCTCGTATACTCGCTCAATCTCCCTTCGCAAAAAGAAAGAGAAAAATCCTTTGGATGTCAAAGAATTTCTTAAGAGTTCAAATTTAATTATAAAGCTTATCATTTTATCGTTATTTTATCTAATGAAAATATCGTATAGTTTTGTGACTAAAAGAGCTAATCTTCTACCTATATCTCCAAATTTTCATAGTATTTTGTAATACGATCAACAAATTCGACTCAATTACGGGGACATGAGCATGAAAAAACAAAATTAGAAGAGGGATGTTACAGCTGTTCATTATCACGACGACTGCTGTAGTTATCATTGGGACTACAAAAAGTGATCTACCTGTCAGACTTTTGTTAATTATATATCGTCAATGTAGCTTGCGCAATAATTCAGGAGATACACCGACGATGAATAGTAATAACAAATAATTATTATGTACGATTGCGACGATTGCGATATATATATATATACAATGATATTGCGTATACGTAAAACTGTACATATATATATATATATATATATACATATATGAATATATTGTTGTCAGTTGAATGTTGAAATAAATACCTTGAGTGGATTTAGTCTTTTCTTTTCAGTATTGATATAAATATACTAAAATGAAAGAAACACGTATTTCGTTTTAATGTATGGTAATAATACGAGCGATTTCGGCTAGAAAATAAATAATTTATTGTTAATGATAAAACAAAAATTATACACTATGTATATATATATGTGTGTATGTATTATATGTGTGTATATATATATATATATATATATATATATATATATATATACACACATACACACATACATATATATATGAACATTTCGTAAGTATATTCTATATTTCTCTTCTAGCCACTGCGAATTAGAACTCTCCATTAGCTCTTGTCTCTCACTTAATCCTTTGACACTCCAATTTCAAGTTTTTATCAAATATAACTACATATTGCGAGAATTAATCGAATTTTTGCGGACCAGAGATTACTGACGGAAAGAAGCTAAATGGAAATACATATAAAACTAATTGTTAAATGTAATATTCAGAGAACCAATATATCTTCTGTGATGTTTACAAGATCTTTACATTAATTAATTAATTACTCGCTAACGCACGTACTTACGTACTGTGAGAATAAGTGTTTCCGCTTCTTATATAGCGTCCTCCGGAAAAATATTTAACGGTAACAAAATATTTCGAATCCTTTACATGTACATTCTACTATTATACATCCTTGAGATTTCTGTTTTAATCTCTATATCATATCCTCGTGAGAAAAATCCTCATTCAAAACTATTATCTTCTTCCATCGTCAAGGATTGCCATCTTAACTTAAATTGCACGGCAGTAAACTACGTATCGACATCAGTAATGTAAAGCCCATTCGTTCTCCTGCAAGAAAGTGTCAACCACTTCCTTCATCGCCAAGTTCGGAATCAGCTGGTCCTGTGTCAAGCGCACACGAGTCACCGGGTCGAAGTGACCGACCCGTTGAAGATGCTCCTCGATATCCTTCCGTTCGTATGTAATCCCACTGGGTGTGATTACCGGTTCCTGAAGAATCTCGAAGCTGATCTTGCCGCATAAATAATCGGGTACTTCCCTTTTCTACAATTTATTTGAGGATTATTCGAATGTATGTGTGTAGATTCTCTGTAGAAACAATCTAACATAAAGAAAATACGGTAAAAGCTCAATCACGATTTTGAAATAATGTTCAACAGGAGGATCACAGAATGTGAAAATTCGCTCTAGATTCGCTAAAGATAAAGAAGATAAAAAGGAACGAACCCTCCTCCTCTCGTCGACCTTGGCAAAAAGATCGTTTAGTCGCGATATGCAGCTATCTTTCTTTTCTTCTATCTCCTCTTTTTTGCTGGCGAATTCGGTTGAGCTTGTCTCCACGTCAGAGTCCTTGGTCGGCTCCTGCTCCTGCAAAGTCGTTAAGCTGCGCTTTGCGTCATCTATAATTAGCTGATTCAAGTAAGTCTGCAGCTCTATGTCTTGGGCGATCCTCTGTTCCTCCCTCATCTGAAAGCGTCGTTTACGGGCTTGTCGCAATACGCTGGTGATGTCATCGCCATAGTTCAGCTTTTGCTCCTTTGCCAAATCTACAGCTGTGTTACGTTTGTCATTTGATATTTATAGTGAAATTTCTGCCAAATGTTGCTGTATATACTCGAAACAATAAAATTATATAAAAACTTGCTAGACTCCTCGGTACCTCTTTGCAAATGTTTCACGGCTTCATCATAGAGTTCCAATTCCAGAAGAGCCAGTCCCAAGAAGAAGTGACCTTTCATCAGACAGGGATCTATGTCTAAGGCACGTCTGCAGTCCTGGCATACAGATTCCCATCGTTTCAGCTTCAGATGACACAGTGCCCGATTTGTGAAATATAATGCCTGATCTGGATTCTTTATCTGCAATAAAAATTGAGATAAATAAAAATTTGCTAACTGATTATTATACACGCAACTTTGCTTTTCTATGTATCTCTACATGTTCAATTGGGATATGACAGATTCACTTACCTTCACAGCATTTGAGAAAATCATGATATAAAAAATAAAGAAATAAGAATATTTTCAACAATTTTTTTTGAGTGGCAATACATTCCTTTTAAATGATCAGTTTATATGTATTTAGTACATGTTTTAAAAAGACTTTTATGTTATTGTTGTTTATTTAAAACATGTTTTATGACAAGCTAGATTCTGTAACATAAGGCCTCTGTCGAAAAACATACTTACATTTTCCAGATGGTTCCTACTTAACAGTTAATCTGAAGTAAATGAAGCAAAAGTTTTTAGAAACTGCATGAAAATGACTTCATTTGTACATAAGAGTTTTAAGAAAAGTTTTGTTTTTATAAAAAGGTAGGTTTTATAAAATTTTTGACGGTAGAATCGATCAGTTTTCTGTATGTTTCTTGACGAATTTTTGGAAAAAAACAAATCTGCACATACAAATAAAAATAAATTTGATTACGAAGAATCTGCCGCAAGATAAAATCAATTGGATCTTTAGCTTTTTTTTCAAAATATCTTCCGCGGCAGCTTCAAAAAGATGATCTCGAAAGATATACGTTTGAAGTAGAAAAAACGTTTAAACGTATATTTAGCATATAAGTTAATCTATATCCTTTTACAAATTTTGAATCCGTTTGTTTATTTATCCATTTATACGTCTTTAAACAAAAACAACAGTCAGTAAGCCTTTCTGACAATCGTGCGAGGTAAAGAAAACAAAAAGCAGTGACATCACATCGCGTATATATTTATAGTTTTTACATTCGCATGACTAGTTGTAATCTTGTAAACAGTTATTTGTGTTGTTGTCAAATATACGTATCACAGAGAATTCGTTTAAATGATCAAATGTTTAGTTATGTCGAACCAATTTTCATCGAGCGTTTCTAAATGGATATAGAGCGAGCTTTTTAATGCATCGATGGATCCATCGATGAATTAAAAAATTCGCCCATACGCTAACCGTTTAAACGTATATTAAAGACAAATTGAAGCGGGTGTTCTAGTTTAAAGTCACGTACAATATTCCATGTGCTCTTCGACAATGCCTCACAAAGTCTCCTCTAACTTCATGAATTTTCAACCAATTAAATCATTTTCACTGCATAATTTTTCAGGAAATATAGTAAAAAAGTCGATTTTTCAAAAAAAAAAAAAAAACGTTTTTTCTACTATAATGTTTCTCTTTAAATATACAATTCGACTTAAATCTCCCACTCGCTTTCGTTGTTATTTTTAGTTCGAACTTCGGGCGCTAGAGGCACCGACGAATTGTCGTCTTTAGCAGACCGCATGATTCATGGCTCAAAACAAAAAATATCTTGCTGCGCAACGAGCAAGTGAGCGCACAAATGTGCATTGGAAGCCTAATTTGAAATACACGCAATCGCATGTACATGTTGACTTGTCACTTACGATCGCCTTCGTGTAGCAATTAGCTGCGTCCTCGTACTTGTGGAGGCTGAAGAGACGGTTCCCCTGTTCCTTCAGTTCCTTGTCGGACAGATTCGCCGTGGAATACATTTTACTCATTTTGGCGGCCGGTGTCACGTCACACTACATGCACAGTAGATTATTCGCGATAGAACCCGAATACGGGGAACAATGATCGCGATATTCTTTGTCTAACCTCAAACTCCAGACGCCTGATGTTTCATTTTGCATCCGTAAGTCATCGACTTTGATACAACGCGCATCTAGATCGGCCAACGAAGGAAATTGCAGTTTGACGCTACCGTCATCTCGAGACGAGATTTCAATGCTTTCTAGATTAATGTTCTGTATACACTTACCGACGACTGACAATTTAGTAAATGTTATAGGCCTTCCACAATAAGCTATTAATCATAAATCATAGAAGTCAATCAATATTTTTGAAAATAATCGACTGTGATTCGTCAATATGCTTGCGACTTATTACTAATGGCTTATCGTTGAATATCTATTGTACAGATATAATTATATCATAAAATTATATGTGCAATAATATTCATTAAATTGAGTTATTGATATTTTTGTATTTATTTTTTTTACAAGATTCAGTTTCACAGAAACTTACTTAAATTCGAGCTAACAATCAAAGTATCAACTGCAGAACATATATGTAATATTATTTTCGATAAATAAAAATAAAAATCATACTTCAATTCGCATATAAAATAAACGATTTAATTACAAATGTCGCAATCTGTCTCGCACATATTTTATTTTTTTAAGATCTTTTTCAAGAAATTGGCCGGTTAATACTAGTCTAAAAGCCAGAAGGTCTGTTGACCATCATTGACTATTAGCTTCTGCAGGATAGCGTGCAGCTACTGGCTGTTCGCTTCCAAATCCATATCTGACCAAATGGCCTCAGTCTCGCTCTCCTCAGGCGCTTCGTCGTTGTCCGTGTCAGGCAGACCGTCACCGACATCGTAGCTTGTATCAGCTTGTTCTTCACCTACAGACATGTAATAAGCAGAGTCCAATTTGCTGGAGGAATTGTCAAGTCTGTGCATTCCTTCCAGAGCCCTCCTATTACTTGGATCCAAGCTGAAAACAAAAAATATAAAAATTTACTCTAAACTCAAGCATGATCACAATGTGCTCGTTGCTATTTATTCTCCATTTTTTATGACTTAGAAAAAGATAAAGAAGAAACCTGAAACAAAGAACACATTGTAGATAAGGTTTTATATAATACAGATGAATAAAATTGCAGAAACAATACTTCAAAGCTATAGCATAATGGTCTAAAGCCTTCTCCTCATTGTGCGCTCTCGCCCACAAGTCTCCCAAGGTTTGATGGAGCCTACAGGTAGATTGTATCTCCACTTGTCTCTCGAGCAGTTCGATGGCAGCTTCTAAGTTCATTTCTTGCTCATATATCTCCGCGAGATGGAACACCGCGGTTAAGTAAACCTCATCTTGTGACAGCGCTTTCTCAAGGAGATTCTTGGCTTTACTCACAAACACAGGGTCCTTCATTAGCACGGACGCGTACAGCTGTAAAGAGAAAGTGATGTTTTACGCGAATTTTTCAGAATCACGTTTCACATTTTAACTTACTGTTAGGACTCTGGCGGTATGTCCCAATTGCTTGCAAGAGTTACTGGCGATATTCAGAGCCTCCCGTGATCTGTGCATCCCGACCAGGCAGTCGACCAGGCCTTTATGTGGCTCAAATCTGTAAGGTTTCAGTTGTGCCGCGTGCCTGAAAAAGAATAACGCGTCTTGGTACTTCTTCTGCTCGATGAGAATGTTGCCGCGCAGTATGGTGGCCTCTATGTCGTTGGGATTCAGACTGAACGCCTGGGCAGTGAGAGTGTAAGCTCTGCTGAACTTCCTGGTCGCGCATAGAGAATACGCCATCGCCACGTAAATTTCGCCAGTGCATTCGTTGTTCATAGTTATCGCCGGTATCAGTCGTTCCAGGTCTTTGTAATGCTGCATATTGTACAGTACAGCAGCGTAGACATCCACTCTGTGAAAAGATAATGAACATATTATCTGATATATCCTTAATGCTCCTGACTACTCACTGCAGCTAAATCTTAACTCAATGCTTACCCTTTCGTTATATCTGGCTCAATCACACGGGCACGTCTCAGGCATAACAGGGCATTTTTATCATCGCCAGCATAATAGTAACATTCACCCATGGTTGTCAGTAGGTTGAAATTATCTCTGAGTAAAACTACATTGTCCAGTGACCGTAATGTTGACACAGCATGAGCATATTCTCTGTTGTTAATATGAGCATGCGCCTTGATCCACGAGTTCAGCCATTCCAAGTTCATTGAACCAGAGACAATCAGTGAGTTAACTTCTGTGCCCTTAACCCCTAAAGAAAGAAGTCCTTCCGCTGCCTCCAGAGCCAATGGACACTCCTTCAAAACTTCTTTATATGTGGTAATAGCAGACCGCTCCATTCCTTGCTCATGGAACATCTTGGCCAATGCCATGTTTACCTTGGCAGTACGCTGCTTGCCAGGAATGCTTTGTAGTATTTGCAGTGCTTCCTGTGGGTTCTTGGATTTCACCAAGCACAAATAAATCTGATATTTGATATTGACATCCAATGGCAGATCTTTCTGTCCATCCAACAAGGGCTTTCCTGTGCCCTTTGACTTAAGCAGACATTTGCGGAACTGCAGAGCTTTCTTATAGAGGGTCTCTGCCCTGCGGTATTTGCCCAAGTGAAAATGAGCATCTGCATAATAGACATACACATGGAACTTGCTGTAGCCAGGAAGCAAGTCAGTGTTGTGTTCACTGAGAGAAAGCACTAAGTTTGTTAGGTAAATCACATTCGAGTACAATGACTGATCATACAACAGTTTGATCTGCTCAAACAATCCTGACATGATTGATTTTCTTATAATAAATTTTACTGTTAGTATTGAATTATAAAAACAGAGAAAATATGACAATCACTCAATTCTTTAGATAACTTTAAAATATAACAAAAAGGCTATCGAGAAGGTTAACAGTATTCACAAAATATTGTTAACAAGTCTTATAAAATTTATAATTTCGAGATTCAACTGTTAGTTTTCTTTATCTCTATTGTATATTCAGAATTCAAGATAGATTAAAGATACACAGCTACGTTGTTTTTAAATCATATCGTTATCATAATTTTTACCGCAATTATAATCTATTTAATTTTATGCATTTTTTATTATCCGCGATATATATACATTTATGTCTGACTTAAACGCAGGATTTATTTGTTGAACTCAGCCTGTTTCAATAAGTTTGTCGCGTTGTTTACACTTTGATACTTTATATCTAAAGCCTTAAAGCCCTAATGCACAATGCCAGGCAACAAATAATAGGAATAGGCATTAGCCAATAGGAACAGGGAATAGAAATAATTACCAATCCGAATTCTTATTCTCTGTTCCTATTGGGTGCTTTCCAGGGTCCTTATTCTTGAAATAGTTGCGTATACGTAAGTTTTACTGCGCAGGTTTAATCATACCATAAAATAGCTGCGCAATGAAAATTACGTATACGCAAAAATTTCAAGAATAGGAGCTCAGTTGTATACACTATATTAAAAAACCAGTTTATTAGTTGCATATTATCTTACAAGATATTCTAGATAATATGTGACCAATAAACTGATTTTGTGTACGTGTGTGTCAAGATATGTCAAGCAATTGGAAAGCACCTATTGCCTGTTGCCTGGCATTATGTATAGAGCGTAATGGCTCTTGCACACAAGACGCGATAATGCTTACCGCGCGGTGGAAGTCCGTGCGACAGCCAATCAATATGTTGTTTTTCCGTAAGAGCTAGAAGATTATTACGGAAAGCAGCATATTGATTAGCTGTCGCGCGAACTTCCGCTGCGCGGAAAATATTACCGCGTCCTGTGTGCAGGAGCCATAACGCTCGTTGGACCTTTCCTTGGTCCAAAAAAAGAACTCTCATTGGGTTTCGTTCATCGCGTTGATGTGTAACAGATATTAGACCTGTTCTTTTCCCTAACTGCCGAAATGGTGCAATAAGTTAAAGCGAGACACATATATGTTTTCTTACTTTAACTTATTGCACTAGTGTAGTAGTAAGCGAAAAAAACAGGCCTATTAGACCGGTTCTACATTAGTTGCAAATCGCAAGATTGTAAGGTTACATGACATTTTTCCGAAAATTAGATGGAAAAATGTTGGTACCAACAAAAATCCTTAAGTAACACAATTTTAATTTCTATAGATTAGTGACAATTTGTTATTTGATACATACACACGCATATGTCAAAACGACTTCGCAAAATTCATAGATTTGCTACTTCTACAGTATCACTAATCCGCAGAAATTAAAATTGTTGCTTGGGGGTTTTTGTTGATACCACCATTTTCCCATCTAGTTTTCGGGAAAATGTCGTGTAACCGATTGTAATAGTATGTTCGACTGGCTCTGGGTTAACACATTCTAGGTTATTCAGCCTACGTTTTTGGTCGAACAAGTACTTATAAGCTTTATAATTGGCTAGTAGAAACTTATGACGTCATTAATCGCTCTCGGAGCGATTAACCCAAGACCAGTCGAACACGCTATAAAAAAATTTACACAATCACAGTCGATCGTTCTTCTTACGACCAAAGAAGAATTGACTGTGATTGGTCAATTTTTTTGCGACCTTGAGACTTGCAACTAATGTAGAACGACCTTAAATGCAAAAGTGCAAATAACGTAAACAAATTATGAACAAATTTAAATATGTTCCGTAAACAATCAGCTGTGGTTAGTCAATTTATTTACTGCTTACGTCTTACTGCCAATTTCATTATAGGATGCGTTCAGATTCCCTACCCGGGTTCACTCTATTACTAGAAACACTATAGTATATGTTACATATACTATAGCACTTCTAGTATTAGAGTGCACCCGGGTAGGGAATCTGAACGTACCCATAGATGGCCCTTATGCAGGATTCACACCGCATCCAATGTCCGATGTACGATGTCCGATATCCAATAAGAGAATAGTTTTCTAATAGAGAATTCAATTCTCCATTGGAAAGCTGTTCTCCTATTGGATATCGGACGTCGTACATCGGACTTCGAACGCGGTGTCAATCCTCCTTTAGTCCCGATCTACAATAGGTGTAGTAAGCTTTAAGTTTTAAGAAATTGACTAATCATAGTTGAATTATAGAAGAATAATCAATCGTGATTGGTTAATTTCTTATGGCTTAAAGATTACTACACCTATTATAGATCGGGACTTAAGGATAATGAAAGATCACTGAAATATATACTAAATATATACCTGGAAATATATACCTGAAACGCGCGCAACCTTTTGGGCTGCGTTCAGATTTCTCATCTGGATGCACTCTATTACTAAAAACACTATAATATATGTCACATATTGGTTGCTTTCCAACAAGAGATACAAGTCGACACAAACATCATTCTATCTTTGTTCCACATTTAGTGAGTAACAAAGGATGCTTTCCAGTTGCGTACACATACTAGGTGCGCAACTAAGTTTCCGGGTTTCACACATGGATGGCGCTAACGACACATGTAGTCGACATACATATCTAAAGTTGTGTTTCTTTTATAGCTTGGACATCTGTCAACAATAACCAGTCATAATACCAACACATATCGCAACGCAAAAATATTTTTTCTAACAATGAAGATGTCGAGTTTTGTGCCAAATAAACAGCATTTGCGGGAAGCTTTGCTTTTCTGCTTTAACTTGAAAAAAAAATGCAGTTGAAACACGTCGTTTGCTTGAGGAAGCCTACGGCGAACATGCACCATCGAAAACTACTTGTGAAGATTGGTTTAAACGCTTCAGAATGGCGATTTCGACACTAAGGACAAGGAGCGCTCCGGAAGACCAAAAACAATTGAGGATGCCGATCTGCAAGCGTTATTGGATGAAGATGATACGCAAACACAAGATCAACTTGCGGAGGCATTAAACATGACTCGCCAAGATACTTCCAAACGTTTACATGCCATGGGAAAAATTCAAAAGGAAGGAAAATGGGTGCCGCATGAGTTGACTGAGAGACAGATGGAAAATCGAAGAGCCACTTCCGAAATTTTGCTTTTGCGGCATGAAAGAAAGAGTTTCCTGCATCGAATTGTTACT